GGGGCAGGAAGGCTGCAAAGCCTGCGCAGAAAGCACGAAGGAGCTTCCCCAGCTCCCAGCCCCAAGGCGTCTCTCCGTCAAACAGCCCCCGGCGGCATCCCAGCGGTATTTCTCCTCTCTGGGCTTCTGGAACCAAGCAGGTGCTTCCTTAGGCTCCACAACTGAGTCGTGCACTGCCTCATCTGTCTGGCTAGCAAGGTCAAAGCTGGCACGACTGTAAATGCATGCAGCGGCAAGTGCAAATAGATGTCTCCCACCTAGGCACCTTGAGTGGAGACGAAAGACAGAGGCTTCTGCCATCACAGCTGAGGCTCGGCGGACTTCACCTTCCGATCCTTCAAGAAAAGCAATTCTTCAGTTCCTCTTCCTTACCTCAACAGAGATGAGGGGAGCTACAGGAAGGGGGGCACAGGCTCCTGAGCAGGGTCTGTGGTAGAAGGACGAGGGGAAATGGCTTCAAACCGAAGGAGGGGGGATTTAGGTGGGATATGAGGAAGAAGTCTTTCACAGTGAGGGCAGGGAGGCACAGGTTGCCCAAGGAGGCTGTGGATGCCCCATCCCTGCAGGCATTCAGGGCCAGGCTGGATGTGGCTCTGGGCAGCCTGGGCTGCTGTTGGCGACCTGCACACAGCAGGGGGTTGGAACTGATGAGCACTGCAGTGCTTTTCAACCCAGGCCGTTCTGTGATTCTGTGATCCTATGATACGATTCTTCAGGCAGAATTAAGGTGAGGAGGGCAAGAGGAGCGCCCTTATTGCAGAGCCATCGAGCTCACAGCACACCTGCAGGCCTGCAGGATTAAAACAGACCGAGGGCTGTGCTTCCCAGAACAGGAGCAAACACACAGCCGTGAAACTGTCAGAGAACAAGCCGGGGTTCCTCTCACAGCACCATGTGCTGGACACCAAGAGGGAAAGTCACCGTAACAGCCTAAAAGCTGCAAGATCAGCGCCGCATCAGCTCTGCTGCCACCAGGAGCGGTGAAGTCACGAGACAGCCAAGCCCAGGGCTCACAAATGGAGCCCCCAGCCCAGGGCACAGCTATGGAAAAGAAATGCACCTCTCTGCGGGCTGGGTGGGATGTGGGCAGCTCCAGGCACAGTCGTAGAGGAGTCCAAGGAGGGACTGGAAATGAAGGCACTGCATCACAGCGACTGCGTCGGGTGGTAATGGCAGCAAAAGCAGGGCTGAAGATGGAGGAAAAACGCAGGAGCTGAGCTGTGCTGTCACACCTCTGAAAGCCTGGTCCCAAAAAGGAGCACCGGGAGGTGCACAGAGATGCTGGGAGGGCTGGAGAGCATCTCCCCTATAAGGACAGGCTGAGGGAGCTGGGAGGAGAAGGCTCCAGGAGGATGGTATGGTGGCCTGCCAGGACATGAAGGGGACTACAGGAAGGCTGGGGAGGGACTTTTTTAAGGGCAGGTAGCAACAAGACAAGGGGAAATGGCTTTGGGCTATCAGAGGGAAGATGTAGCCTAGATATTAGGAAGAAATTCTTTACTGTGAGGGTGGTGAGACACTGGAACGGGTTGCCCAGAGGGGTTGTGGATGTCCCCTCCCTTGAAGCAATCAAGCCAGGCTGGATGGGGCTGTGAGCAAACTGGTGCGGTGGGAGGTGTCTCTGCCTATAGCAGGGGGCTGGAACTACGTGATCTTAAAGGTCCCTTCCAGCACAAACCATTCTATCCTTCTGTAACTCCGTGAAGCTGCTACCCTGGAAGGCGCTCACTTCAGATGGACCGCTTCCAGCGGACGTGCTCCGGAGATGAATTATTTCTGCTCCACAGGTGAGATGAAGCCAGCTGAGCTGCAGAACGCCGCGAAAGCGCTGCGAAAGGTCAGCTGCGATTAAAACACCAGCAGCCAAAACAAAAGCATCAGGTTACTGACCGGAACAACGGCAAAGCCTTCAGATGGGAGGAGTCAGAGGTGAGAGGAGCTGTGCAGGACCGCAGCGGGGACGGCGGCACGGCACACGGTGCAGCACAGCTCCCGCAGCACAGCACGGCTCCTCGCCACCACAGCTGCCGCAGCTGCGCGCCGATGCCGGCTCCCGCCTGCAGGGCAGAAGCTCAGACGCCTCCAGCTTCGCTGCAGTTCAAACCCTCAGGCCAAACCTCCCCTCAAAGCAGGAACGGTGCTGCACCCACCAGCTGCTCCCACTGCAGCGGGGGGACAGGAAGCATCGCCGTGCTGCAGCCCGGCCCCCCTGGCACTCAGGAACCGAGCTGTGGCAGCCGGCAGCCATTTCTGCCCCAAACCTCCCCTCCTTTCTGCTCCGCGTGCCCAGGAGGAGCAACGGGAGGCAGCGGGCCGCGTGCGCTGCAGCTTCGTGCCTCGCTGTTTGCAGAGCTGTGATGAGCCCTCGGCATTGTTTTCAAACTCGCAGCCATTCCGCGCCGTAACGGGGAGCCGATGCGACGTATTTATTACCGCTTATCATCCAGATTTTTACAAGGCCGCTTACGAATTAATCAACAACGAGCGCCTTCACAAACGCCGCTGCATTAATCTCCACATCCGCTGCGTAAATCACACGGAGAACAAGTTAATACACATAAAACTGCAAGAGAAACGCCGCGGTAATTCCACCCTATCAGCTCAGCGCGTTGCCGTCGAGCCGGCCCGCTTACAAACCAAACATTCCTCCGGCCCCCAGCCCAGCGCCGCAGCCCGACCCCCAGCCTGGGCTCCTTCACCCCTGCGCTGCCCGCAGCAGCACTGTGCTGCATGGGACGCCCGGACGGAGCGCAGGCTCACATCCAGCCGCCGGCAGGAAGAAGGCTCCGTGCCTCTCAGCACCAACCTGCACTCTGAGTATTTTCAGAAATACTTGCTGTGTTTCATTCACTTCCCTGCGAACCGTGTGCGCTTTATAATAAACTCCAGGCTGTGAAGCGGATGTTCTGCCTGAGAAACCCAGCCGCAAAGGGAGAATGCTGTCGGGACAGGCGGGCAGCGCGTCCATCCTGCACTCGCACCACGCACACACTGGCACTGATCTGCCACCTTCTTTTGCAGCAAGAAGCAGCGCAGCAGAAAGTCTTGCAGCAGCTTCACACCGCCGACATCTCCAAGGTCACATCAGCACGCCGAGCTGCAGGCAGGGCACAGCGCAGCGCCACCGGCCTCCAGCCTCCTGCCTGCTGGCGGCGGCGCTGGGGGCTCCTCCACCTCCCCCCAATCGATTCTGCCTCCGGCTGCAAACACAGCGGCTCCCCGATGACCTCGGGGGATATCAGCTGCTGCCATGAAGGAGAGCCAGGACCAAAAAGCGCAGAGCAAAGCGGGTTGAAAACACAAACGTGGGAACTTTTAATTTAAAAAAGTAAAGCCACAACAGCACCACTATTTCACAGTAAACTCTGAGCTTTCCCGTATCTCGGCGGCTCTCACAACGGTGTGTGGCGCTGTTCGACGCCAGAGGGAATAAAGCAACGCGTGCAGCCGAAACGGGGTCTGCGTCCGCCTGTGTGCGGGGTTGGAACCCTGCGATACGCCGTGAGCGCAGCTCCGCGCCGCCCGGAGCCGCAGCAGCGCTGTTGGCACTCCTCAAATTCAGCCGGATTTATGGCAAAAGCATAAAACCCACCGGAGATTAATACGTCAATTTGCCACACGTCCCACTGCGATGGATTTTCCACCCCGCTCCTCCCTGCCATCGGATTGAAAGACGGAACAAACGCGGTTATCGAGCGCGGAGCGGGCGCGCTCCTCTCGTCGGGGTTTTGCTCTCCGTTTGCAGGTACGGATGGGCAAAAACAGCGTTGTGTACAGCTCTGGTGGAGGAAGAAATAGAAAAAAGAAACCAAACGCGATCCCAGGACGAGATGCGATCCCAGAATGAAACGCAGAGCGCGCCGCTATGTTCTGTGCATGGGAACAGCCTGCTGCTTCTCCTGAAATTACTGTTTCATGTGTGTTTTAGCACATCTCGGTGCAACCGCTCTCTGAAGGCACGCTGTACCTTGGAACAGCTCCTTCCGCATTAAAAAGAAGGCGCAGTATGGATTTTAGGAAGAGATTTGGGGGCGGAGACAAAGGGCTGTACTGCAGAGCAGCCGACCCCCAAGGGCTGACCCCCAAGGATTGACCTCCAAGGATTGACCTCCAAGGATTGACCCCCAAGGATTGACCCCCAAGGATTGACCTCCAAGGGCTGACCTCCAAGGATTGACCCCCAAGGATTGACCTCCAAGGATTGACCTCCAAGGATTGACCCCCAAGGATTGACCTCACCAAGGATTGACCTCCAAGGATTGACCCCCAAGGATTGACCCCCAAGGATTGACCTCCAAGGATTGACCTCCAAGGATTGACCCCCAAGGGCTGACCTCCAAGGATTGACCTCACCAAGGATTGACCCCCAAGGTTTGACCCCCAAGGATTGACCCCCAAGAATTGACCTCCAAGGATTGACCCCATCAAGCGCTGACCTCCAAGGGCTGACCTCCAAGGATTGACCCCCAAGGATTGACCTCCAAGGAGTGACCCCCAAGGGCTGACCCCCAAGGATTGACCTCCAAGGATTGACCCCACCAAGGATTGACCTTCAAGGTCTGACCTCACCAAGGACTGACCTCCAAGGGCTGACCTATCAAGGCTGGCACCACGTTTCTCCCACTACCTGCATCAGCCCTGCTTAATTATTGCTCCTTCGTTATGCCCCATGTGTCCCCAGCACACGGCAGCTCCCGCTGGCGGCCACCTGGCACTGCCCAGCAGCCCCGGTGCGTGGCCCCAGCACCCCAAGGCCTCATCAATCTCCCACAAGATCCATCCTCCATCCTTTGCCACAGCCCTCAGCACGTGGGGCTCCCACTGGGACAGGCACTGTGGGCACCTGCACCGTGCCGCGTGCCACCAGGGCATCCGTCACCCCAGTGGGAGATGAGCGCTGCAGCCCTGCGCCTCATCCCAAGGCCGTCCATCGCCCATGGGTGCCAATGGCCGCGTCCCACCCCGTCCCACCCCACCACACCGGGCCGCGCGGTACTTACTGAGGACGGCAACCCCGGAGGAACTTTCCGAACTTTCTTTGTCTGAACTTCTGCAAAGACAGAGAGAACGGCGTCCTGGTCAAGGCCGGCAGGCCGCTGGCACGGCTCCTATGGAGCAGGTCTGCCCTCGGCAGCAGCGTGCCCAGCGCTCCCAGCGCCACGGGGCCTCGGCGCGGTGCCCACAGCCCCCCAGCCACGGCCGCCAACCCCACACGTGCAGCCCGCCGTGGGGCCCGCTGTTGCGTGCGCAGCGCGGGGGGAGGCGCTCGCTCGCTCACTCACCCATGGAGGTGCTGTGCAGCGGCCGGCGGCGCGGGTTATTGCTGGAGTACTGGTAGTACTGGGAGCCCGGCTTGCTGGGGGACAGCGCCCCGGGGTTGCCGATGTCCATCTCCCCGGCCAGGAGACTTTGCTGGAGGACAGAAAGACAGAGGTGTGTGCGTGTGCCATGCGGAGCTGCCGCTCGCGTCCCCACCGACACGCGGCCACGAAGCACCCGCGGCCCGCGGGGCAGCTCCGCATCCGGCGCCGCTCCAGGCAGAGCAGCGCAGCGCAATGGGCGCACAAGGAGATCGCCTGCACCTGCGTTGCTCACGCGAACGCAGCCGGCGCTGCACAAACTTTCGCAGCCCCGCTAAGCGACGCACTGGAAAGCAGCGCAGTTTCCTCGCTGCAAACAAGACGTCAGAGGACGGCCTCAGACGCCGCGGCGCTGAGCGGAGCGCGGCACGCTGCCGGCAGAGCGGAGCGGGCGGCTCCCAGCGCGCGAGGCGGCCGAGATGCGCGCGGCGGAGTCAAAGCGCCGCGTTCGGCCACGCGGATCGGCGGGCCTTGCAGAGCCGCGCTCAGCGTGCATCGCCCGCGCCTCCGCGCCGCTTCCGAGGAGCCTCCGGAAAGCGCCGAACCGTGCACGCCACGGCGCAGCGGCAGCAGCGGCCGCCCAGGGCCGCCGCGCAGCCGTCGGACGCCGTCCCGCCGCGCACCCCGGCGCGCGCACGCACGCACATCGCGGCCCCGCCGCGTCCCGCACCGCACGGCTCCGCCGCCGGCGCCCGCGGAGCGGCGCTGCCCAACGCCCGCCGCTCGGCCCCGCGGCCCGCGCCATCGCAGCCCCTTCCCGGCGCCGCTCCGTCCTCGCGGCGCCCCGCGACGCAGCGCGGCGCCCGGCTGCCCCCTGCTCTCGGCACGATCCCGAGAGGCAGCGAGGCAGGTGTAGGCGGCTTTGCCGAGGACGAGTTCACCGCTTAATAAAGAAATTTCAAAATTAAGCACCAAAAATCTAACTTTATCGTTACTTGTAATCAACTTTTACTGACTGAACTAATTACTGTACTTGATAAAGTACAGAATGTGTTTTCCCTAATCTAAATTCTAATCACCATGTCACTCACAACAGACTTAGTAATGCTTCACTAACACACTATTCACATGCAAAATACTCTAAATAGGCCAATTATGACTCTGCCCCTGTTCCCTGGTTAACCCGCTGAGAACTGAAAAATTTCACAAGGCAGTCACCAACTAAAACAAAGGCTCCTTGTCTTAAATTAAGGCAGTCTTTTTGATTCCTAAATAGCTCAACAAAGTGGCATGTCTTCTGCTGAAAGCAGTTGGTCAAATACGGCCCGCGAGCTGGAAAACCAGAAATTAAAACATCCTTCTTCTTTTGCCGCGCCTCCAAAACACGTCTCAGGATAACTTTTCATTCGGGAAAGCGATATTACTTTTTTTCCCAGGTCAGCAAAACCGAAATGCGTGCGGGGGGACAGACGGGCGGACGGACAGGCGGACAGGCGCTGCATCCCGCGCCGCCCGCTGGCACCGCCGCGCTGCCCGGCGCCCCGCCGGCCGTCACAGCCCAGCGCCGAGCATCGCCGCTCCGAGCTTCACCTCTCGCTCACGTCGGAGATACACCTGCAGCGACTCGGCTCCTCTCAGCACAACACCTGCGACAGCGAAAATGGCTGCGGCTCCACCGCATCACGGCCAGAAAGGGACGCGGAGCTCCCGGAGAAAATGGCCATCCACTCGCTGCCAGCGTCCTCTGGCAACGCACGGGGCTGACGGAGCGCCTCGGAGCGCTGCGGGACGAGCCGCAGAAACCAAATCCCCTTCAGTCACACACTTCTATCACGTATACGTTCTAACATAAAGACAGACCCGCTAAATCTGGGCACGGCTGATCCATATGTCGGGGAGCCTCAGCCGCTCAAATCCCTGCACGCGGCCGCCCGGCTCTCACTGCACTGAGAGGAAAACTCCACAAGGCAGCGTTTGCAAACTATCGGAGATTAAACGAGATTCGCCTTCGGAGCAGAAAACACACACGCACACCCCCGACGCTGTTTTTGTCTCTCTCATCCCAACATCTTTCTCCGCAAACAGATGCAGAGGTTCCTACGGGAAGGAGATCCAACGTGAGCTGCTCCCCGGGAAGCGACCGCAGGCACGGCCGCGCGGCCGCACGCCTTTGTTTATCCGGCAACCGAGCGCCCCTCGTTGCCACCAGTTGCACTTCGCAACGCCCGTCCGTCCCTCCCGGGCCGGCAGGCAGCGTCGGCGACTCGGGCGGCAGCGCGGCCGCGTACCCGGAGCGCGGCCCCGGGGCCGGCATGAGGGCGCGCACCGCCGTGCCCAGCCTGCATCGCCCCCAGCGCCCCGCAGCGACCCTCGCACCGCGCTCACACGTGGGCGCGCCGAGTGCGGTGCGTGCTCCTGGCACGGCCCGAAGCGCGGCGGACCCCGAGCAGAAAAGCACCGTCCTCGGTGCGGGGTGGGACGCGGCGCGGCTCTGCTTCGGGGCACGAAAGAGGTGGGTTTGTTGTGGGGAGGAAAGCCCGACGGCAGCACGCGGGCGCTGCTCCCGAGGTGCTCGAGGGAAGAACAATGGGCAGCCGGTGCCGCTGCCAGCGGCCTGCCACAAAGAGCGCGACAGAGCGCCGACAGAGCGCCAACGGAGCGCAGGGCGCGCGTCTCCAAGCCAGACCTTCGATTGGCACAACTACGCAGCATCACAGTTCCTATTTACCACCACGAAAAGATGAGCTTTAACCCTAAGTGCCACATTCGTCCGGGTCCCTTCCACTCTCCAAAGCAGGGTTTGGCGTGCCTGCACGTCCTGCACAGGGCGCCTCTGGTTGCAGCCGCGCCGCACGAAAACCCTACAGCTCCTTCAGCCCATTGCTGTGAGTCCCACAGCGTGGCAGCCACGCCGTGCTGGTCCTCGCAGACCTGCGCTGCCAGCAGCCCGCTCGGCTGATCGCACACACAGTGAATCGCACGGCGGATCTGCCAGCAGAACGCCAGTCGGGGCGAGCAGCAACCGCCGGAGAAGACAAACGCGGAGCACAGAGCCGCGCTGCGCTGCTCCTCCTCGGTGCCTCTGCCTTTGTGGCTGCTGCGGCCCCATCTCAGCCCTGCCGACTGGTGAAGCAAGTCGCTAACTGGGAGTCCTGCCCGCAACACGGAGACAAACAGACAAAGAGCCGCAGCCGCGCGGGAGGAAATGCGCGCACAGTACGGCAAAGGAACGTCCGCACGGATGCGGCGTCGCCCCCCTGGAAAAGACAAATGCTGCTTTTTCGAACAAAAATCACCTGAATGCCAGCAGCTGTGACATTTACATGTCTGCTCCGTGCCCACCGAGCTGGGAAACTGGTTTTTAAAAGCAGCATTTCCTTTCCCACAGAAAGAGGTGAGGCGCGGTACGGCAGCGCTGCCTTTTGTCACTACGGCATTAATTCAGATTAAAGGTGAATGTCCCGGAAGCTTATAACCCAAAAGCCTCTGAAAACAACGATCAGGAGAAAATATTTCCAGAAAGGCCTTTTTTTTCTTTATTTTTTTGCTGAGAACCGACATATTTACTCTTTTTTTTTTTTTTTTTTTTGCCCTCTTTGTGCCAAGCCGCGATCCGGAAGCAAACGCAGCACGCAGGGATGCGGCAGGGAAGAGGAAAACGGGAAGCGACGCAGAGACGAAACTCTGCTGATTGAGTGCCAGGTCGGCGTGCTGCTGGCGCCCAGCAGCCCTGCACAGCTGCAGCACAGGCAGCTCGAGCAGCACAGCTCTGCAGCACCCAGCAGGCACACCGCCGTCCTGCTGGCCCTGCGCGCTCCTGCCTCCCAGCTCTTCCCGCTGCTGCAGGGGGATCCGGGCTGCTTGTTTGGCCCGCTCCGCAGCCGCCCGCCGACCCACACACTGCAGGCCCCTCCGGCATCAAAGCTTTCTCCAGGAAAAAAAAGAGCACCAACAAAGCGTGCTGCCTCCGTCCTTGGCACTGGGAACCTGCACGCGGCACCCGGTGCCCGCCACGAGGACGTCAAGCCGCTGCGCTGCACCTTGCGGCGCCTGTTCTGCCCCACGTGCGCCAACAAAGCAGCTCGAGGTTGCTGACAGCCCCCCTGCTTCACGTGGCAGTCCCTCTCTTCTCTCCTAAGCTAACGAAATCCTAAAGGCCGCTGTCCCGCTTCCTTCCCCCCCGTGAAACAGAGGATGCAGCCTGGTTCCCCGTCACCAGCTCCCCTCGCTGCCCTGCCCTCGGTTTATGAATTTTCACTTAAGTCAAGTTAACCGAGTAATGCTGCGTACACATCTGAATCATTCCTTGGTTATTTCCTTCTGTGATTCCAATCCTCTGTTTTTAATCAAATTATGAAACTAAATTTCCACTTATCATGTGACTATCGGGGCATCTGTTCATAATCTGTCCAATTCCTACAAATACTCCTTTCTTTAGCTTTTGGAAATTTGGCAGCTCTCTGCAAAATCTTCTCCGTGTCATTTGCGCCCAGCGTTTCTCTCTAATGCCAAGTGTAAATTGCAAACCACGGATGGCAAACAGGGAAACCATTTCCGTGGGCTTCACCGGGAATGTTTTCAAAGCAAAGGCACTGTTTTCCCTTTTTCTAAACCAACAATAATTCTGAAAAGCGTTTGCCGAAAATGTCTGCCTCCAAAGGACAAAGGAAGTTGCCGCACAGACCCATTTTTCGCAGGGCTCTGCTTTCTCCGCAGCGCTCCGCGTGTACCAAGGGAGGGAGGCCTCGGCGCCTTCGTTTTCCTGCTCTGTCTGGCAGCACAAAACCTTTTGTTCCGCTCCCCCCACTCGCAGGGCAGCACCTCGCCTGCTCTGCTCCTCTTCTGCCTCTGTCCTTCTCCATCAGGCAGCGCTCGCAGGCGTTGCTGAGCAGTTCGCCTTCACCCAGCCCTCGTGCAGTAACGCCGCCGGCCCTCGCTCTCTGCTTCTTGTTCATTTCTTCTCTCTCTCTTCATCCGCGTCACCTAAAACTGCTCTTCAGCTTCACGCCTTCCTCGAGTCGTTCTTCCCAGCCGTGCCTTTCCAGGACTGAGCACAACCCGAGCGCAAGCACGGCCATCACAGCTCACGCACTGCGCCGAGCAGGGAGCGCC